GATATCATTGATGACATCAGATGGATCTTAACTAAAAGCTGGAAAAAACCAGAAAGATGTTTACTTGTAATTTGTTCACTATTCAAAGGCATTTGACTATGTGGACCAAAACAAACTATGGATAACACTGTCAAGAAAGAAAATTCCAGAACACTTAATTGTGCTCATGTGGAACTGGTATAAAAACCAAGAGGCAGCCATTCAAACAGAACAAGGGGATTCTGCATGTTTTCAAAGCTGCAAAGGTGTGTGTCAGGGTTGTGTTCTTCTGTTATACTTATTTAATCTGTATGCTGAACAAATGATCCACGAAGCTGGACTCCACGGGAAAGAATGTGACATCAGTATTGTAAGAAACTCCTTATTAACAGTCTGCCACATGCAGACGACACAACCTTGCTTGCTGAAAGCAAAGAGGAATTGAAGCACTCACTGATGAAGATAAAAGACTACAACATTTAGTGCAAATTTCACCTCATCATAAAGAAATATAAATTCTCGTAACCGGACCATAAGCAACATCCTAAAAACTGGAGAAAAGATTGAAATTATCCAGGATTTCATTTTGCTTGTGTAACACAATCAATGCTATGGAACTAGCAGTCAAGAGATGAACAACACATGGTGTTGGGCAAATCTGCTGCAGAAGACCTTTTTACAAAATTAAAGGGCAAAGACGTCACTCTGAGACCTGAGGTTCGCTTGCCCCCAGCCATGGTCTTTTCAACAGTCTCATGTGCACGGGAAAACTGGACGACGAACCCCAAAGACCACAGAAGAACAGATGCCTTTGACTGATGGTGCTGAAAGAGCATTGAAAGCGCCCTGGACGACCAGAAGCACACACAAGTCGGTCTGGGAGGAAGTACAGCCAGAAAGCTCCTTAGACAGCAAGGATGGTGAGAGTTTGTCGACTGCGCTTTGGGCATGCTATCAGGAGCGACCAGTATCCGCTAAATGAAAAAGAGACCTTCCATGAGATGAAATGACACAGTGGCTGCAACAATGAAACTCATATATACAAACAATTTTGAGGATGCTTCAGGACTGGGCAATGTTTCCTGCTGTCATACTCAGCGTTACTGTGAGTCATAGGCAACTGGATGGCACTTAACACATTAGAAAGATATTAAGAAGGCAGTGCTAAATAAAAGTGGTGCATATATTCGTGTATAAGCTGAGATTTTCAGCATTAAAAAATCATTTTAATGGGGGCTCATACAACTCCTATCATAATCCATACAAACAATCATTGTGTCAAGCACATTTGTACATTTGTTGCCATCATCATTCTCAAAACATTTTCTTTCTACTTGAGCCCTTGGGATCAGCTCCTCTTTTTTCCCCTCCCTTCCCACCTCCCCTCTCTCACAAACCCTTCATAATTTATAAATTATTATTATTTTGTCATGTCTTATACTGTCCAACATCTCCCTTTACCCACTTTTCTGTTGGCTGTTCCCCAGGGAGGAGGTTATATGTACATCCTTGTGATCAGTTCCCCCTTTCTTTTCTTTTTTAATCATTTTATTGGGGGCTCATACAACTCTTATCACAATCCACACACCTCAATTGTGTAAAGCACATTTGTACATTCACTGCTCTCATCATTCTCAAAACATTTGCTCTCCACCTAAGCCCCCTGGCATCAGCTCATTTTTTCCCCTCCTTCCCTGCTCCCCTTCCCTCATGAACCCTTGATAATTTATAAATTCTTATTTTGTCATATCTTGCACTGTCCAACGTCTCCCTTCACCCACTTTTCTGTTGTCCATCCCCCAGGGAGGACGTTATATGCAGATCCTTGTAATCGGTTCCCCTTTTCTACCCCATCCTCCCTCCACCCTCCTGGTATTGCCACTTTCGCCACTGGTCCTGAAGGGATCATCCACCCTGGATTCCCTATGTTTCCAGTTCTTATCTGTACCAGTGTACATCCTCTGGTCTAGCCAGATTTGTAAGATAGAATTGGGATCATGATAGTGGGGGTGGGGTGGGGCAGGAAGCACTTAGGAAATAGAGGAAAGTTGTATGTTCCATCCTTGCTGCACTGCACCCTGACTGGCTTGTCTCCTCCCCGTGACCCTTCTGTAAGGAGATGTCCAGTTGCCTACAGATGGGCTTTGGGTCTCCACTCCGCACTCCCTCTCATTCAAAATATGATTTTTTGTTCTTTGATGCCTGATACCTGATCCCTCTGACACCTTGTGATCACACAGGCTGGTGGCTTCAGTTTTGTTTTGTTTTTTGTTTATTTTTGTGGTAAAATTAGGTGCCTCGGTTGATATTCGGGTCGGCTTATACTTGAGCATATACGATGGTTACAAACCAATATGTATAATATGATCCCTTTTTTGGAAAAAGAAAAAAATAGGAATTTTAACCGAACCATTGAAGGTGTTAATATCTTAGGAAAAGGTAGAGGTGAGGGTAAGGGTAGGGCGAACCAGAAGGACTTTCACTTATTACAATGTATATTTCTTTAATGTACGACTTTTATATAAAGAGTATGATTGCTTTTATAAAGTGTAAAAATAAAGAAAGAAAGAAAACTTTAAAATGGGTACTTTTTTAATAAAGGCCCAGTCTTCCTGGCATTAATTGGTGATTAAGACAATAAAATGCCAAGGAATTTTTTTTTTCTCTTTAAAAACTTTTTCTTGTGCATTGGGTGAAGGCTTACAAAGCAAATTAGTTTTCCATGTTAAAACTTCATCGGTATTTTGTTTTATGTCATCGATAAATAATGCATCTTGAGAAATTCTGAATCAGTATCTTTAATGTGAAGAATCATATGTCATCTCTCCTGGAGAGTTTAGTGCAATGAAAAAAGGTCTCTCCTGAGACTCTAATATGCTTGTTTTTTACTAAGCAATAAAAAGTATATTTCAGCATTTTTCTTTTTGTTGGCTCTTAGAAGCTCAGAGTTCAATGTAAGGCCAAAGTATAACGATCTTCGTATCTCAGATTTCTCACAGTGTTATCTCCCCTGCTTACGTGGCTTCTGATCTCTCATTTGAATTTGCTTTGCATATTTCTGCTTATAGAGGTGAGAGGTCTTAAACCCTATTCTACACACTGGTGGCAGGTAAGCTGCAAAATACTGATCTAGGAGGCTTGTTAAAATACAGGTTTCTATACCATGTTCCACAGCACCCTAACTAAGGAGGCCAGGGTGGGGTTTAGGGTCTAAATGTCCACTGCACTTCTAAGGTATCTATGACGCATACCCAGATCAGGAACCCTGCGATTCCATGGTGGGCGCCGTGAGTCCTGTTTTGGAAGTGCGCGTGTCATGACATCTTGAGTTGGGTTTAGAAGTTAGAACTGTTCATAATTTATACCCTGCCTATAAAAGTAGACTCAACAGGTTATTTTTGCTTCTTTGTTGAACTCACTGTTCCTATTTCAGTATCCCTTTTACAGGGAGCTACATGACAAACTCTTCTGGAAAAAAAAAAGGTAAGAGAAAGTGCTTCGCAGAGCACAACAGTCTATTGCTGCTGTTTTTAAAGAAGCCATGCTATACTCTGAAAACATGCAATCTGGAATAGTTACCTTCTGTATTGGTGGAAGTCTTCTACTCTCGCGATGCACTGCTTCTAGGGTCTCAATGTGCATAGCTACAATTCCTAGGATAAGTCAGAGCATTCAAAATGAACCAAAAATAGAATACAATCCAATTAAAAATCACTGATTTAAAAACTAATCAAAGCATAAGTAAATAGCATGGCTAACTGACAGGAAGACAAGTATCCCAGGTCTTAAATAAGAAAAAGTAGACCTATACATAAAGTTCTTATTCAATTATCGGCAATATTCAGAGTCACCAATATCTGCAAAGCAATTACCTGGTATCATGCAATGAAGGCTCTTGATGTGATCCTGAGTAACTCCACTTTCTGTACAAATCTTGTCAATGAATCGGGTAATGAAACGCACAACAGTATTGGCGATGTCATTATTCTCTGAGTCCTCAAACCCACTCTCTGTGTCATAGCTCTCAGCCACACTTCCAGCGATACTAAGAACATCAAGGAAGGAAATTCAAGTCAGTACACAAATACAAGTGACCCCCTTGATCACGATTAATTTTCAGAGCAGTTGAAACCTGCTCCAGGAGATGTATTCTTAAAGCGAGTGCTCACTTCATTCCATGGCTGCTTTATTACAGACGGTAGTGGACTATGATGCTATATTTGCCCATATTTGGACTGTCAGGCATTGTCCTGTGGAACCTAATTTGTTTTTGCAAGGAATGCCTCTGTCACTCTTCCAAAGAAACCCAGCAACCATTAAAAGAAAAAAAAAAGTTAAAGGGCACTCTTAACTTAATAATTTGATATCTAAACCTTCAAAAGAAAACAAGTGAATTACCACATACAGCCAAAGTGATATGGCTATCTTTGGCAGCTGGAAATGTGAAAATAACTGTTAGAACAAATAGTATATTCTTTCAAATGAAAGGACCAGACTGTCCTATGAGCTATTTTTGCTACTATTTATTTCTGAGTGAATCATAACCCTCTTGGCCACTATGTGACGCCATCATTATTTTGCAGTTTGTAAAAATCACACAAGAGGAGAAAACCAATTTGCTGCCTTTATTACTTACTCAGCTCCCACGACTCAACAAATGTTCCTGGCTCCTCAGGCTTCTGTTAGAGTGCTACTTGTGGGAAAAAACCCTTTTGCCTGCTCTAACCTACTCAGTTCTCTTTACTCCAAAGCCAACCACATGACCTGAATCAGCATGAACGCACAGCTAAGCAACGTATTTGGCCATCACACCATCCCTTAGCCTTGGAGAACTTGGGGGGCTCAGCTATTCACTTTACAAGGAAAGGAAAATGCAGCGACTGATAGAGTGGAGACCAACCTGATGGCAGTAGGAGATAGGCTGGTGAGGGACAGGGGGTATAGACTATAAACTATTTTTAAAACCAAGCAAATGAGTCATAGTTAATGAAGCAGGGTCTTGGTAAACAGTAACAAAACTATGTAATGGAAACATCGCTTCGGGAAGATTTTCATCAGAGTAAGGGCGGAATAAACTGGAGAAAGGGGAGAGAGAAATTAAAACTCAAAAACAAAACAAACACACACGAACACAAAAAGATCTGGGAGACAGTGTAAATGATTTGCTCTGGGTGGTGCGTGCGTGGGCTATGCTGTCCACATAAAATAGCCAAAGGAGGGACGGGAAACTTTGAACAAGAAACAAGAGCTCTTTTCAGTTGACTGCATGATGAAAAATGCTGACTTCCAGTCGTCTACCCTTGAAGACCAGAAGCTCTCAGGTGTTGCTGACAGCAATGAAGTGCCCGGGCTAAAGAGGCTGAGAGGCTGGGGCTAGAGTTGTAAGCTTGCAGATGAATTCTCCACAAGAGCATGAAGAGTAGGGCACAGCAACTGAGACTGGGAAGAGGAGTGGCTGCCCAAGAAAGCCTGAGAAGATTCACGAGAGCCACAAGAATGGGGAGAATGTGGCGCTATCGTGGAGAGTCTCCACGCACAGGGGCAGGAAGAAGGACGCGTGGAAATGGTGTACCCAGGGAGAAAGTGCTGCCACCAGTGACCCACGCGAGTGTATCAACTGTCAAATGGAAGAGGAATTTGCCCTGGAAACGTCCAGCCTAGGCTACAATACAAAGTTCAAGTCCAAACAAACCTAAAAAGAGAATTTCAAGACTGCAAGGGTGATCTGTTCATTTATTCATTCATTATTTGTTCACCCAGATGTATGCCTACTATGTGCAAAGATTCTGGGCAGCGAACAAAATAGATAAAGGAGGCAGAGAATAAGTAAACATATTAAAAGAAATAAAAATGGAAAATGTCATGAGAGAAAAGTAATGCAAGGCAGGGGCTACTTGTCCAGGTAGGCAGGAAGGCCATTCTCAGTAGGTGGCATTTGAGCAGAGACCTAAATGCGGTGAGAGATTGATTCTTAAGATGATTTCCAACTGCTCCCCTCAAATAAATTAAAAAACCCCACCCCACCTCCATCAAGTCAATTCCAACTTGCAGAAACCCTGTATAAGGCTTCTGAGGCTACAAGCCTTTACAGAGCAGATCAGCTCACCTTTCTCCACGGGGTTAGTGCTCTAATGCTTACCCAGAAGCACCCCCTGGGAGCAAGTATTCCCATCTAAAGGAACAGCAAGTCCAAAGGCCCTGGGGCAGTGGGGAGTTAAGAGCATTAGTACCACAGAGAGAACTATTTGGTTGGAGAAGGGAGACCAGAAATAGGTCAGAGCAGTAGCTAGAGACCAGATGCCTGTTAGGCCTCACAGAATACTGTTAAAAAGGACTCTGTCTTACTTTTAGTGGTGTGGGAAGTCACTGGAGGGTTGAGGGCAATGTATGGCTGAGGACATGATTAACAGCAAATGCCATAGGTAAACTGAGGACAACAGAGGTTGGGAAACGATCGTTCCTGCCAGGAGGAACTCCCCAGTCATTTTCAGAGCAGCAGGCAGGATCAGTAGTGGGTGATTATACTCACTGCCACTGAGTCCATGCTGGCTTATTGGGACCCCCTGTGGCGTAACTGTTTGCAGGAGTCGAAAGCCCAGTCTTTCTCCCAAAGAGCTGCTGGTGGTTTCCAACTGCTGACCCTGATGATCGCAGCCCAATGTGTAACCACTACACCACCAGGGCTCCGTACAGGCAATCGTCTATTCAAAAGCTTCACATTCTCTGCAAAGCTCAGCCTGCTCCCCCAGGAAGAGGAGGGGGAGCCTGGGCTGTGTGTGTTCACACTTCAGTACCTGTTGGTAACAATGCTGTTGCTCCCGCTTTCCCAGTCGCCTGGGGCCGATGATCTGAGGAGCTTGTTTTTACTTGAGTCTAGTGGAACTAGCAGGTTGACCATGAGGTTTGCAAAGTGAATGGCCTGGCTGAAGACGGTGCTTTCCTCTCGCTGCACCAGCTCCTGCTGAGTCGACTTGCTCAGAGAGGGCCACAAGCGGAGCTGCTCTGCGGCTAGATCCATGGCTGTTTTTTCCTGAAGCTGGTGGTCATCAGGAAGCTTACCCTAAAAACAACAAAGTAAGATAATCCAAAGGGGAGCATTCAACGCTTCCCATGAGCTCAAAGGCCACGGGGATGCTGTAATAATTCCTCCATTACATACCTATATCAGCAAAAATGAAATCATATAAACAGAGGCAAACCCAGCTTTTTCTTCCTGGCAGAGCCAGCAGGCCTCCGGTGGAGCCCAGGAGAAAGCAGCAGCAGTAGCAGCCACAGAGCCCAGATGGTTCCTCATTGCGTTCACAATCTCTATGGCTGTGTCCCCTTCCAGCCACCAGCTACAGCCAGTGTTGGAACCTACTGGCCCGCTCTGTGGGGACAGATGTGGCAGTCTGCTTCTGGAATGCACAGGGGTCGTTCTACTCTGAGCGGGGAGCGACTCTGCAGCAGTGCTGTGCGGGTTCTCTTCACACACATTAGACATTAAAATGTTAAAAACAAAAACACTAGCTAGTCACTTTGCCAATGAGGAAGCTAACGCTCCTCACATCTTTTTCAAGGCCAGACAACTACGAAATGACATTCAAAGGTTTCATAAGATTTCAAAGAACTCTTTCCAACAAAAAGTATTTTTCTTATTAGATATGCTGGTAAAATATATGGAAAGTTATAGAACGTTACTAAAAGGAGACCTGTCTTTTATTGCTGGCATATTTTTTGAGCAGGATGACCGAAGTTTACATTTATTTTAGAATTACCGTAATTAACTTCAACTGGCCATTGATTCAAAGACCTCGATGGCCCAGAGACACCTGCCTTGGTCTTTTTGGTTTGTTCTTCCTGCTCATCTTCCTAGGTTTGTTTCCAGTGAATTTCTACCTGTTAAAATGCAATCAAACATCGCTAGACCTAAAACCATATGGAGACATTTCTGAGGGAAAATGTAAGGACATGAATCAGGGAAAGAAAGCAGCCTTCTACTGGCTCCCTAGAGGAAGCCCCACAGGCCGGGCGGCAGGAAATGTCTCCATCGCCTTTTGTCCTGGGGACACCTGCGTGGCCAGAATCCTAATTCCGTACAAACCTCCTGTTCTCTTCTCTTACCTTGTGCCTCAAATGTGGAGCATGATGGTCTTCCCTGGCTGAGAGGTACAGGGAGCGGACCTGTTCCTGCACAGCACTATAAAAGGTGGTCTCCCAGAATTGCTGATTCGTCCAAATGGGGTGGTCCTGTACACAGGTGTATGCAAACTGGCTGACTCCAGGGGCAAGTTTCTGTGAGAATACACAACAGATATCACCATGGGGCTGACAGAGTGATCAGTTCAGAAGGTGACAGAGGCTGGAGTTAACCATAACCAAACCAGACTCCCTGCCATCGAGTCCAGTCTCACTCACGGCAACCCTGAAAGGACAGAGCAGCTCTGTCCCAAGGATTTCTGGGACTGTCATTCGTTACAGGAGTAGAAAGCTTCATCTTTCTCTCACAGAGTGGTTGGGTGGTTTCTAACTGCTGACCTGGCAATTAGCGGGTCAACTCAGAACCCATTGCAACCAATGCCGGGGCTTCTTACAGTTAACCATACTGCTGCTGCTATGCCGACCCACTGCCATCGAGCCAATGTGGATTCACAGCTCCCCTATAGGACAAGGAAGAACATTTCTGAGACTGTAACTCTTTATGGGAGTTCAATGCTCAGTCTTTCTCCCGAGGAGTGGCTGGTAGTTTCAAACTGTGGACCCAACACGGAGCCACTATGCCATTGGGCTTCTGCCAGTCACTATCGATGAAATCAAAGGATTTCTCTAAAGACCATCTTATCCGAGTACAGGCTTAGCAGTCAGCCACTGAATCACTTTTACCTTTGTAATGCTGGACTTGCTATCAAATCCTTTAAAGCTAGCCGTGACTTTATTAAAATGGTCATTAACAACACCTAAAAAACCAAACTTTCCACATGAAGCGGAGAATATGTGAAAGTACCTAGCACAGCACTGCATACTGAATAAGTACTCAAGGACCTTGAACACTGAGTTGAGTTGCAGCAATTATGAATTTAAAGACATATAATAACCATCACAACCTAAACACAGTACTCTAGATGATCCAGAGAAATTCCCTTTCCCTCATAAAAGTTACTTGGAGTACACCCATACCAAAAAAGTGGATGTGCAAAAACGTCCCTATAGCTTTTGGACAAAGGCAGGCCTGTAAATACTCCTAGACAGAAATAGAGAACAAAACAGAGTAACAATAGCCCAAAGGGTCTGTATACTCACTGATGCTGTGTCGATTACAACTCATGGCGACCCTAAGAGGGCAGGGCAGAACTGCCCCCATGGGTTTCTGGGATTGTAACTGTTTATGGGAGTCGAAAGCCTCATCTTTCTCCCAAGGAACAGCTGGTGGTTTCAAACTGCTGATCTTGCGATTTGCAGCCCACCACATAATCACTATGCCACTGGGGCTGTGTAGCAGGTAAGAATTTTGAGGGTTAAATCATTATAGAATAAATACTTTTGGCAAGACTGTTTTAAATGGATATGGCATCTGATATATTCATAAGAAAGAATTAGCAAAACTTCTAATATGATCATCATTTTGCAAACATAAAATGTACCCCCTTGTTGTGTGGTCTCCTCACTGTTAGGATGGGCGGGGCCACTGCACTGATAGACTGGTGCAGTGGTTCTCAACCTTCCTAATGCTGCGACCCTTTAATACAGTTCCTCATGTTGCGGTGACCCCCAACCATAAAATTATTTTCGTTGCTACTTTATGACTGTAATTTTGCTACTGTTATGAATCATAATGTAAATATCCAATATGCAGGATGTATTTTCATTGTTACAAATTGAACATAATTAAAGCAGTGATTAATCACAAAACAATATGTAATTACATATTGTGAAATATTTATGTGTTTTCTGATGGTCTTAGGTGACTCCTGTGAAAAGGTCATTTGACCCCAAAAGGGGTCGCAACCCACAGGTTGAGAACCACTGGACTGGTGTGTCCTCAGAACCAGTAGAGGGCAGTCAGACCTTTCTGCCTGGACTCCATTAAAGTTTGTGAGTGCTAGGCCTGACTCACGGTAACCATATGCACAATGGTATGAAATGCTGCTTGGTTCTGCACCATCCCTATAAATAATTATGGACAAACCAATGGGATTCACAGAGTTTTCATTGGCTGAGTTTTAGAAGCAGAACACCAGGCTTTTCTTCCCAGTCCATCTTAGCCTAGAAGCTCTGGTGTAATTTACTTAACATCATATAGCAACACCAATCTACCAAGGATCGATCATTGCAACAGGACTGGCAAAAATGGAACTTTGCAGCCTGGTTGGGCTACCAAGGGAGCGGTGAGGTGAACACTGTTGTCTCCTCTGTATACTTGAGAGTCCCTATCAAGAAGTTTTTAGCGCAGTCATTAAAGGCTTGGCTGCTAAAGGTCAGAGGTTTGAACCCATCAGCTACTCTACAGAAGAAAAATGTGGATGTTTGCTTCGTTAAGATCCACAGCCTTGGAAACCATCTAGGGCAGTTCTACCTGCCTACAGGTCACTATGAGCCAGAAGCCACCAGAGGGAAGTGGGTTACATTATAAAGAATATATCATCTGTCAGGTTGTTGGAATGTGGTGGCTTAAGTGATACTGGAAGCTATGCCGGTGGTGTTGAAGGTGTCAAGAATTTAGTTTTACTTGAATCCTCGATCAAAAACCCAACCCACCGTTGTGGAGTTGACCCTTACTCACAGCAGCCCTACAGCAGAGAGCAGAACTGCTGCATCTTTGGAGGCCGACTGCTGCTTCTTTCTCCTGTGGAGCAGTTGGTGGGCTTCAATCACTGACCTTTTGGTCAGTGCCCAACAACTAACCCATCACTCCGCCCGAGCTCCCCAATCAACAGCCATGAAAGACATCACATGATGAACTGCTTGGACAAATCTGCTGCAGAAGACCTTTTGTTCAGGGTTAAAAACAAAGATGTCACTTTGATGACAAAGGTGAGCCTGCCCCAGCCAGGGTCCTTCCATGTGAAAGCTGGGCAATGCAAAAGGAAGACCAAGAAGGGATGTGTTTGAACTCTGGAGCTAGTGGAGTACAATGGATACGTCATGAGCTGCCAGAAGAATGAACAGAACCATCTCGAAAGAAGCAAAGCCAGAAGGTGCCGGCCAGAGAAGTAAGGATGGCAAGACTTTGTCTCACGCATGTTGGGCTTGTTAACCAATCAATCCTCAGAGAAGGATATGATGCTTGATAATGGGTGGGAAAAAGAGAAAGACGCTGAATGAGATGGGTGGGTAGAGTGGGTTCCCACGGACCAATGATCGTGAGGGTAGTAGGAGTCTGGGCCCGGTTTCGTTCTGCTGTGGGTACTATTGCTATTCATCAGAAATCACGCAGTAGCATCCAGCAACATGAAGAAGGCCTGCTGCCAAAGTCACACCGCTGGGTAGAAGACACAGGAACAGATATGAAGGTTTCCACTTTTCTATTTCACTTCTATAAGATACAAGTAACTACCCAAAGAAAGATGTAAGAAGGACTGTTAAGAGTGTTAGTCAGCACATTTTATTATTGTAGCAAAAGCGTCAATCTGTGAGATGGTGGTGGGGTGGGGGATATTGTTTCTGTAGGGCATCTTTCTCCCATTCCCCTCAACTCTGGCAACAGTATTTACTTTACATTTCATAATAATCCTAGAGAAACAAGCGATCTTTTGCAATGGCATTTTATAAGATGTCTAAGAATGTGTTTTTATGTCCTTCCTTATCTGGAAAGAATATCCCTGGAAGTACGATTAAGCATTACCATTCATTTCCCGCAAAGCTTTTAAAGGAAATCCAGCATGGGACAGGGTCAGAAGAATGTAACCATAGCCTCACCAACAGGCAGGTGAGACTCGAAACCAAATAAATGGATACAAATCAACGGAGAGAAGATTTGGCCAAAGGAAAGGTTATGATGTCATATGTGGGGCCTGTCTAAGGCCTGTCTGGTTGGGCATGTTTGCACTTGAGGTCCATGACTCCAATTAGGAAGCTTGGAGGGAAACTGGATTTTAGGAGAGGAAGCTGGCTGACAGGTCTGACCCCAAAAATGTCTTTCACAAATAATGTAGGATTCAAAGACTCTCTGTCTAAATTGTTGGGAGGATTTCCTATCCAGAGCTAACCCCTGAAATACAAGTGTATCTCATTGTATAGTTTGCTGACACCAGCAAGCCCTGTTACAATTCTACACTGGCCTGAATGAAGAAATACAAGAAACATTTCTCAGAAGAATACAACTAGAATGTTCTTTAGAACACGAATGAAGGGAATTTAACTCACTTATTTTGGAAATATCAGAAAAGACCAATCCCTAGAGGAGGTTATGACTGATTGCTGGGTACCCTCAAGTTCCTGGGTTCCAGTGAGGAGATATCAACTCCTAGTGAGGCCATGCGACACCACAGAGCAGAACTGCCGGGAGAGTTTTCTTGGCTGTCATCTTTACAGAAGGAGGCTGCCAGTTTTTTCTCCCACAGAATTGCTGGGTCAGAACCATCAACCAACCTTTCCGTTTCCAGCTGGATTCTTAACTGTGTGTGTCCCCAGGGCTTACTTTGGTAAAGGAGAGACCCAATGAAAACAAAGGGAACCCTCAATGAGATGAATCAATGCAAAATCTACAACCATGGAGGCAAACACACCAACTATATCCGGAGATGGTGCAGAACTGGCAGCACTTCATTCTATTGTACATAAGGTGGCCGTGCCTTGGAATCAACTCATCAACAGCAGTAACTTACTGGACCGACCAACTCCATCTATTAAGTTGCTTTACGAATAAATTTCAGAGCACAGTTGATCTTTGAACAATGTTGGGTCTGTGGTACCGCCCTCCTGCACAGTTGAAACCTGTCATGTCCGTCTGACCCTTGAACAGCAGGGTTTGCACAGGGCCCCTTACGTGTCATTTCCCTTGTTGCTGTTGTGCTGGGCTCAAGTGCTATGAGGAGCTTCTGAAATCTGTGTGCTTACCGTAGTACCAACAGGAAAAAAAATCTGTGTAAGTGGGCTGGCATAGTGCGGGCCCAGGTTGTTCAAGGGTCAACTATTTCTTTTTTTATAAGTCCTTAGTTTCTTCTTCTTTTTAGAACCATTTTATTAGGGGCTATACAACTCTTATCACAATCCATACATACATCAATCTGTAAAGCACATTTGTACATTCATTGCTCTCATCATTCTCAAAACATTTGCTCTCCACTAAAGAAAGC